CACCGAGTCGTCACACGTCCGTCAATGAGAGTAGTCCCATGTCCGCCATCGATTCCGTGACCGATCGAGTCGTCAAATTTCCGTCACCAAGTCGTCGCTGTTTGGCCACCGACTGCGAGATTCGAGCTGGAGTTGCCGAAGTACTGCGCGTGATATGATTGTGGTACAAAGTTGCGATTTTCGCACTGGAGCACTGGAGCTGCGGAAGTGTACTTCGCGTACTAGACTTGTTCTACAGGATTGCCGTATTCGAGTCAGAGCTGCGGAAGTCTACGTCCCTCATGCTAGACGCTACATAGTTGCAATTGTTCAGCTGCAGCGGAAGTGTGCTTCGAGAGTACTAGACTGGCGCTACAATGTTGCGACTCGTGAGCTGGACCTGCGGGATGCTGTACTTCGCACGCCAGACCATGGTACCACAAAGCAAGGATTTTCGAGCTCGAGCTGCCGTCACGGAGTCGCCACATTTCCGCCACCAAGTCGTCATATTCCCGTCACCAAAGCATCATATTCCCGTCACCGAGTCGTCACATTTCCGCCACCAAGTCGTCATATTCCCGCCACCAAGTCGTCATATTCCCGTCACCGAGTCGTCATATTTCCGTCACCAAGTCGTCGCTCTTTAGTTACCGACTGCGACATTCACGCCGGAGTTGCCGAAGTGTGCTGCGTGTGTTATTCTTGTGGTACAAAGTGGCGATTGTCGCGCTGGAGCTGCGGAAGAGTATTCGCATACTAGACTTGTGCTACAAATTCGTTATTTTCATTTCCGTCACGGAGTCGTCACATGTCCGTCTCCTTCTCGTCGCATGTCCGTCACTGAGTGGCCACATTTCCGTCACAGAGTCGTCACGTGTCCATCACCAAGTCACGTTACCGCCGCGGAGTCATCGCCAAAAAGCCAGCTGAAGGGTACAATGTGCCGCGACTCGGCGTGAACTATGCGCTGCAGTAGCCTGCCCTTTGTCTGATGAAACGCTGTGCTCTACTTTGCTGTCTTTCTGTGCTGGGGCGTGCAAAATGCTAGAGTTTCCGAAATGTCTAAGAGTCTGAGCAGCTGTGTCCGGGATGGCGCCCGAGTTTCCGGGCAGGAAAGACAAAATAGGCATAATATCTTGCTTTTCACTGCGTGGGAGAACTCGGCGCTCGTAGGGCTATTTTCCATCTTGTAGCGTGGCGATCTGGTGAGGCTCGGCGCGGTGCGCACGCAACATGAGCGGCGGCGTGGGCTGAGCAGATCCAAATCTGTGCGTGGAGACATGGCTGATGCTGTGTGGGACGAGTTGGCCGAGACGCAGGAGGCACGCTGTGATCTTAGGTTTGTGCTGCGTCTAACACAGAGACGCTTTACAATGTCTTGTAGGCGCTGGCGGCGCTGGAGGACATTGACCAATAATGATGCCTGCCTGAGGGTTGGACGCACAAACCGCCGAGCCCAGCTGGAGCGGAAAATGACTGGTCAGTTTCCGGGGCTGTTTGGATGACGATACGGTTCGGTCCTGCAAGCTTTGCAATACCACTCGATTTTATTGGTATGTGTTGCCTTGAATGTCCGATATGCTTGCGATACAGCAACTTAGTATTGAAAAACATCTCGATGAAAACAAATACGATCAGCCGCTCGCTGGTGCGCGGGCCTGCTGCGCAGCATTGCCACAAGAGGCCGGGAAAACGATTTCGGTCGGGGAAGTTGGTTCTCAATGTCTGTTTTGAATGAGCTCTGAAAGCCCGAAGGCAAGAATCGATCCCACGCAGGTGGGGGCAGGCGTGTTGAAGAGTCAGCCAGGCTGCTACACCAACACGTTAGCCGCGCGGGAGTTTGGTGAAGTCCTGGTCTCGGTTGGTTGCAGCTGTTCCGGATGAGCTTTGGACCCTCAAAAACGATCTAACTCGTCGAGTTAGGTTGATTCCTGGCCTCGGATGGTCGCAGCCGTAAATGTTCAATATGGAATCGGCCTGAAGCAATCTTAGTCCGTGCTCCTCCCCGTGCCAGGCAGCCGCAATCCGCAGCAGCTGGCTGCCGCGCTTCTGGCCCCAAAGGGCCCCTCAAAGCAAACCCCTACAGATACCGATACAAATCGGTATGATTCAACACTTTTGGCAGCGATAGTCTTCGATACGATTTGAGGTTGCGATGCTTGGTTTTCGATACCGATAGCTCGCAATACGCAACCATACGATTCGGTATGTTGTATTTGTCTTGTTGAAACGGTTTTGGTTTCGGAGATTCCGGAATCATGCTCCGGCAGTTTTAGAACCCCGGTGCTGCTGGTTTTGGAATCTTGCTGGACCCGGTTTTGGAGTTTTGTTGGGCTCAGTTTCGGAATCTCGTTGGACCCAGTTTTGGAATCTCGGTCCGCCTGGTTTTCGAATCCGTGCGCGACCCCAAGCCGCATCTCAGCAGCGTGGCTGCGAAGCACGTCGCGCACAGCTTTGAGCGCCAAGTCTCTCGCTGGCGAACCAAGGTTTTGAAGCAGCCGAAGATTAAGGCCAACATCCAGAGGCCAAAATGGTCCAAGTCCTTGACCAGTGGCAGATGCCTGAACGGCTGGCACCTTTTCCGGCGTGACTTTTTCAGGAATACCCCGGACGCTGGCAGAGCGCGGACTGTGGCTGAGCGGAACGCCGAAGTGAGGCAGGCGTGGCTGCAAACCTCAAGAGAGGAGAAGGCTAGATTGGCAGCACTGGCGCGCGCTGCAAATCTGCAAAGTCGCACCGTGGCTCGCGCCAGAGCAGCCACTGATGAAAGCCAAAATGAGCCTGCGATCGGCGGCCCATGGGGAATAAGCGCCAGCCATGGCTTTCCCATGAGCAGACACATTGTGGATGGCCGCTGCCACGAAGTAAACAAGATTGCGAACGACTTCAAGCGCTTGCACAACACCCTGCAGCCAGAAGACGAAGACAGCTTGCAAGGCGCGCCGCCCGAGCCTGGGCCGCTCTTTCCCCAGTGTCCCCGCGAGGGCTGCGAGCACTCAGTGCCAGCTGCGTGCAGGCCCACGCTACAGAACGTGACGCAGAAATTCTGGAAAGTAGTGCAAGAGAAAGCCCCAAAGCCAGACGCAAGTTCGCAGGAGCCGCTCCTGCTTGCCTGGAGATCAAGTTCAACAGGTTTGTCTCGCTTCTTGGCAGTCATCTTTCACACTCGGAGGCCTCCTTGGCACGCAGCTGTTCTAATGCTGCACCAGCAAGCAGAGCAGCTTGGCCAAGACGTTTTGTTCAGCTTGCGCTGTTCCCCAAGCATTGCCTACCCACAACTAGAGCTGCGAAGCGGAGCTGTCTTCCTTGCTGGGCTTGCCCAGGAAGCATCTGACTGGCGCATTGCAGCTTTGGAAGCAGGGCCGGTAGCGCTGTTGAGTAGATTTGACATTGTTGCGGAACGCGTGATCGAGGAGCCCCACAGTCTGGGGGCCACAGAGGACGCCCAGGTAGGGCAAGATGCGCAGACAGCGCTAGACGCCCTGCGTCTTCTCCAGCCTCCTGGCCCGAAGAAGCAGCGCTCGGGTCCTGGAGGCGGTCCGCGAAAGGGCACGAGGAGCAAGAACAAGCAAGACGTCCAAGCCACAAAGCTTGCAGAGGAGCAAAAGCTCATGGGCATTGTCCCGCGCGCGTCTGACTCTGAGGGTGTGCCTAGCGACTTGGACTTTGAATCTGCGAGCGAGGGCGGGGCCCAGGACAGGGGCTACTTGACTGATGACGCTGAGGCTTTTCCCGCGCCTCAAGCATCTCCCAGCTCGAGCGGCGTTCCGCCAGGTGTGCCTGCGAGTTCGAGCGCCGCAGCCTCTGCGTCCAGGCCGAAGCGGACATTGCAGAAGCGAGCAGTGGCCTGGGGTGTCTTTCAACTCGCGCCCATCTACAATCGCGGGCAACACACGGGCTGGGGAGCTATGTGCAACCTGCACAGCGATGCAGCCGACAGGGCCAACGTTGCCTGCAAAAAGGCAATGACAAAAGGTGCCTTGTCAGACAACGAGTGCCAACTGCGCTTGAAGAGATGGCTCGTAGCAGGGTTGGACGACAGCTCATGGCCAAAGGACGGCGCTCGAAGTGCGCATGTCTCTTTGGGCGGGGTCCAGCTCGCCCACTTCGCGCACGGCCTGTCTGCGCAGCAGCTGGATGCAAGGGTGTGCCCTAGCCGTGGCGCAGCCTAGGCAGCAACGCAGCGTTGCTTCTGCGCGGTCTTTGACCAGGCTCATCAGGGCCTTTCCAGCCCCAAGGGCTTTGGAAGGCGGCCAGGGACCAGCCAATGTGCGCCCCAGGCAGCAAAATGAAGTCGAGCGCGCGCTGCGCTTGTCTGAAGATGGGGCCAGGCACGTTAGCCACTGAATGTTCTTAAGGCCTTGGCGCATGTTCGGAAAGTCCAAAAAACGCACTGTAAGCTAGCAGCGGCAAGTATGTTTCCGTTGTACTCTTTTTTTGCAAACAATTGGCAAAACAATTTTCTATTAATGGCCCAAACAATTTTCTCGACTCAACGTGGTGTTTTCTCGACTTACCACTTTCTATGTTTATTACTACGTTACACTACAGGCTAAATATTTTCTCGACGTAACTATCTGTTTTCTCGACTGAAATTGTTTGGCCAATACACTAGTCAAAAGTATCTCAAATAGTTTGAACATATTTTGCCAACACAGTAGTTGTGGCCATTCCCATCTTCGATAACCTCCAGAGTTTACTGTGTAAATTCCAGTCGCAGCCACAACCAAGTCAGCTTCAGGACCTTGATGACACATAACGCTACTTGCTGAGTGCCAGCCGTTTCTTGCTCCCAAGTGCGCGCCTGGCCTTGCCGACCAGTTTTCAGGATGGACAACCCGGACGAAGCAACGAGGCAGCCCGGCGCAGAGGATGAGGAGATGGAGGAAGAGGGGGCGCCGCTGGACAGGGCAAGCAGCGTCGCGTCCAAGGCTTTTCCCATCAGCACCTGCCACTCCAAGCCGTGCAGGTGCTGTTTGTGTGGGTCCGCCAGCACGGACGCGAGCCCCCTGGTTACAAGGATGGACGAGGCGCTTGAGCTAGAAACCAAGAGGCCTTGGGCCAAGTACCGCAAGGCCTTCCCACCAGGGGAAGACCCGGTTCGCGTGCCGGAAGGACGCCTCTGCTTGCCTTGCCTGAACGTGTTCCGGCTTCTAGGCAGGGGCTCCGGTTCTTCCGGCTTCCAAGGGAAAAGGCTTGTTTTCCGCTTTCCTCGCTTGCAGAGGGGCGGGCTGGAAGCAGGGCGCTAAGCCACTGCCTTTGTTCCAGTCTTCCTTCCGCCTTCTGGCAGGCTTGAGCGCGCAGTACTCATCCTACAACGAGTATTACAAGTTCGTCAGCCAGAAGCAGAATGCCAAGGAGCACAAGAAGTTCTTGGCCTCTCTCAAAGACTGGATTCGTCAGCATAACCAAGAGCCAGAGAAGACGAAGCTGCGAAGCGACCTGCCCCAAACCTTATTAGCGCTTTCTTTGAATTGCTGGGTGTTGCGCGTTGACTGCGTGGCTGTGGCTTTGTGCACTGTATTTGTCCAACTTGGCTGGCTTTGGGCGCTGCGTTGCAGGTGTGTCTGTGTGTAGGTGTGTGTGTGTGTGTAGGTGTGTGTCTGTGTAGGTGTGTGTAGGTGTGTGTGTGTGTGTGCGATGTGTGCGTGTGTGCGTGTGCGTGCGTGCGTGCGTGCGTGCGTGCGTGCGTGCGTGCTTTTGTGTGTGTGTGTGTGTAGGTGTGTGCGTGTGTGTAGGTGTGTGTGTGTGTGTGTGTGTGCCTCGCTTGTGCGCGTTTTCCATTTGCAGCCTGAGCGGCTTAGGTAAGGAGGAGCTTTTCCAGGTGCAGCGCCAGCTGGCCGTTGAAAGAAAGTCTGGCGGCAAGTTCATCGCCCCCCGCAAGCAGTTCATCCTGAGCTCAGCTTGGAAGGAGAGCCAGCACGGCAAGTGGGACGCCAGCAAGGAGGTTCAAGCTGTCATCAAGGGCCAGACCGTCAAAGGCGTCTGGCGCACAGTCGGAGAGGAGGGCGTTTTTGATTTCGAGGAATACGAAGACACGGCGCTCTCTGAGCAGGTTATTGAGCACGGGCTGGATCACCCTGCGACTTTCAGCGAGGAAGCCTTTAACCGCAAGAAGCAAGCCCTGCGCACTGCCATGAGTGCTACAGCTCGTCAGCGTGACTCGGCGGCAGTCAAGGGCCCAGAGCTTTCCTTGGAGCAGCTCATGGGCTTGGTGCAGTCATGCTCAAGCGCATCAGTAGGCGCAACGCGCGCCGAGGCATCGCGAAGCAGATCCCGGTCTCGCTCTGCGCCCCAGGAGGACGAAGACAGCAATTCGGATGCTGATGGACAGGAGGGGCCTTTGGCCGGGCTTTCCATGCTGGCTCCCGCCAAGACAGAAAAGGCAGCCAAGGCCAAAACTGCCCCAAAGCATGGGGCCAAGTCTGGTAGCAGTCAGGCAGCTAAGGACAGCGCCCCCAGCTCCCACGGGGCTCCAGCAAGCACGCGTAACAAGAAGGACGCTGCAGCTCCAGCCAAAAAGGCCCACAAGGACAAGGAGCAAACAGCAACGCCCAAGACGGCCCAGCTCAGCAAGCAGAAGAAGCAGAAGGAAGGCGCTGATTCTGGGCCAGGCCCGCTGTTGTTGGACGGACGAGCAGGGCGAACTTTGAAGCGCATGCAGGACACAATTGCCGACTTCAGGCACAAGCTGGAAAGCACTGACTTGTCGGATGGACCTGTGCGCCAAGGCAATTGTGACAAGCAGTACAAGGTGAGATGCCAGAAGCGAGCAGCGGAGCTTTCTTTTGTTTGTCGCGCAGCCAAGGACACACTCAAAAGGGTAAGTCAAAGTACCAACCGCGCAGCCTTTGAGGACGAAGAGGGCCAGCTGCAGGCTTTGGTGGACTTGGCGACAGACCTCAGCACCTTGATAGGCTTCATGCCGCTTCCGTACCCTGACCCTGAGGCCTTCTTGAAGGCGCTGAACGCTTGTGAAGAGGGCTTGAAAGGGCTCGGGCTTAACATCGGCCTTGGGCCTGGCTTTGTTCTCAAAAGCTTGATGGCGCATGCTAACGAAGCCTGCCTGCACGACGATTACGATGGCTTTTGCTGCCGCCTGTGCGCGGACACCGCCCAGGTCCAGCAGGTCTTAGTGACCTTGGACGAGGCAGAGGTCCGCCAGCACTTCACAGCAGAGGTGGAGAATCGGATTTTGGCAGCCTTGAGAAGTATCACGAGTGATGAACTTGGGCTCAAGGCAGAAGGCAAGGCAAAGGAAGAAGACACGCCAAACCTGCACGAAGCTTTTCGCTTGACAGGAGCCATCGCAGAGGCTTGTTGCTCAGAAGGTTTTCTGGCGAATGAGCTTTTGGAGAGCGCCAAGCTAGCGCACTCTATGGTGGATCAGGGCGACATGGCGGCTTTGCTAGCCAGCGTGCAGAAGATCCAGTCTCATTCAGACGCCAAAGTGGAGCAGCTCGATGCCATGACCCGTTTCTTCTTGCAGCACGAGATCGGCAAGGCGCTGCTGGCAATGGCGACAGAAAGAGTAGACCACGGCGAGGCAGAGGCGGCCTTTCAGGAGGCATGTGGCCAGGTGTCAAGCCATGTGGGTGAGTTGACTGCTGTGCTCACTGAAGCTCCACACAAGCAGAGCCGAGGCATCCAAATCATCGAAGACTTTGTGAAGCCTGCGATGATGGCGCTGCAGAAGTTGAAGGCGTGTGAGTTCGTGCAAAAGAAGAGTCCCAAAAGAGCCGAGCAGCTGAAGTAGTCGCTGGCCTCGAAAAGAAGATGTTGGCTGGCGCATGGGGTATGGCCAAGCACGACATGATGCTAAACGTGACGGAGCACTTGTGCCGTGGCTGCTAGTGTAGCTGCTTCTCTTTCTTCTTACTAGCTACGGAAGCCTGGGCAATAATAGTTTGGAAGATCGCGCATCTTAGGTTTTGGGGTCTTTGGGCCAGAGCTGGGGAAACGGTTTTGGGGCGAGGGCCAGCGGATAGAAAAGGGGAATCCTCAGAAAATAGGCTTCCGATTCTGGCTGGGGTACCCCAAGGAGCCCTGCCCAATTTGAGTTGAATCTGAGGAAATCGGCGCTCGATGCTGTGCGCAACAACTGCCGCGTTTCCATCGCTTCCGCTGACGAAGGGGTCACTGGCTCCGATGTCTCCACGGCTGCCACGTCCGCCATCATTAACTTGGACGAGTTTTGTACAGGCTTGTCGGCCAGCGCATTCGTGAAGCACGACCTATGGCAGTCCATTCCTCAGGCCAAGGCGGCGATGAAGAATTACCAAGCCATGTCTTGCATGCTGCAGGACGCCTTGCGATTTGTGTTTCTCCAGCAGGCGGCTTTCAGCCAGGTGGCCAAGCAAGGCGTGCTGCCGGAGAAGCTCCAGCAATGGCTTGACTGCCTCCCCGACCTCCTTAAGGAGTGGGTGCCCAAGGAAGTCTTGGAGGGCGACGTGAAAGACGTGTTGTTGAAGCCTGTGGAGATGGAGCTGCGGACCCTGTATTCTAGCGGCCTTGATGGCGTAGCGCCCTTGGTGGAGCAGTGCGTTCAGCAACTGCTTGGTGCTGGGCTGTCTGCAAAGGTTCGCCAGCAGTTGCTGCAGCGGATCCCGGAGAAGCATCCTTTGAAGCCCTTGGTGGACGTATACACGCAGGCAGGAACAAGCTTGTCATGTTACACGTTTCTCAGCACGCTGCAGCAGCGTGCGTGAAGCCGCCTACCCCAAACCATTCTGTTTCAGCTGAGTTGTTGCCCATTATAGTTCACACACTGCTTGCTTTGAGGAAATATCAGCCAAGACTTTGCTGCTGGGCTGGCGCGAGACTAAATTAGCCTTGTTGGAGGCAGACGCTTCCATTCTGCTTCGCTTCGCAGCCACCCGCGCCTGCGCGTCGTACCTGGCATCGGCCACTGAAAGTATTCCAAGCGTGCCAGTTAATTGCGCGCTTGTTACTGAGCAGGAAGCCCTTTGTGCCTTTTCCCACATGAAGCATGGTGTTCGCGGATGCCAGCTGCTGAAGGCCAGAGTGAGGTTCAGCCTTCGGCGTCGTGTTAAGCGCTTGCAGCCATGGTGTTTTGACTTCGGAAGGGCACGGCGCTTTGTTAGCTGCGTGCGCGCGCAAAGCCACTGCGCGTAAGAAAGCCACCCTTTGGTTTTATACTCTTGGGCCACGGGGATGTGCTAGCTTTGCAGCTTGGACTGTGCAATGCGGTGGCTGATTGGCTACGCCCTGACAAGGTGCTGCTGATCCCGGCCAACCTGAAGGAGCAGGATCAGGCGAGGTCGCTGGCCAAGCTCTTGGGCAAGTTGCACACAGAGCTTGTCAAGAGACGGCAAGGTGACGTCCCGTGGGACGCTGTGCACCGAACCCTCAAGCTTTAATACCAACCACGTAGAAAGGTGTATACGGACGATGCCGTTATAGCCGAACCCGTGTAAACGTTGTAAGGAAGAAGGAATGATAGTTACGACAGTGGTCCTGACGAATGCAGCGCAAGCAGTTGTTTTGCTCTTATTGCCCGTCACGTATGTGCGCAGTCACACATCAGATCTTGAACCTCAATTGTGTCTTGAGCCAAATGGCGATCAATGGAACTTGGGAAGCAACACCAACAAGGACCTCAGAACAGCTACCCCATTTCGGCACGGGGCCTAGAGGGTTTTAACATCCCCCATTTGGGTCGCATTGTTCATCATGCGGTCCAAACACCACAAAACGTTCCACTGGCCACGGCTTCAACTACGAAATCGTGTCGTGCATTCTTTTACTTGCTTTCACTACACCGTTCATTCGCTGTGAAACATGCCGGGTTCGATTGTACGAAAAGTGAAACATTCATCCTCCAATCGAAGCACACATCCATATGCAGGTGTATATATAATACACTGTGGCCACTTCACTGGACCGCCAGTGAACATTCCAGCTGCCGCATTTGCGCATCGCGCAGCTGTCATCCATAAATGGGTTGGCCACAAATGTCCACCATGCGCGCCCGCTTGTGATCGGTCTGCATATCCCCGGCAAAGAAACATCGGTGAGTAATCAATGCAAATCATAGCCATTCCAGATACCATGGATAATGCATAAATAATGAATAGATATCATCTATAAGGTAATAGTTCCATCCATGAATATCCAGAGCGTCATAGTCGTCGGAATATGTAACCATGTACACATCCAATCATCTTGGACACATGAATATAAATCACGACATAAGTCGTTCCACCGAAGCAGTGTCGATGTGACGCAAGTAACAGATGGGGACTGGCCCACATCGTACCGCAATCATCATCTTCACGAAGCATACCTGTCCCCAATGGACAGCCTATGGGTACGTCGGCGGAACTCCTCGTCCAAGTTCTTCTGGGCTTCTCGTGCCCGGACACACTTCTTGTTGAAGTCCTCTGGCAACCAGTGCCCTTTCCGAAGGCACCAATCCAGCAGGGGTGTGTCGCATTTGTTCGGGTCGATGGCCGAGATGATGGCGCTCACGTTGACCGTGTAACCATTCTTGCCAAGGTTTAGGCCATCCCTCACGAATGATATATACTTACAGTTGAAATCTAGTGCAAAACATCTGAAAATAATATCACCCACCGGGTGCACTCGGTCCTTGACCAGGAGCTTCATTTCTTCCTTGGTGACATCGAGGATTCTCGCTGCAATCCACATCTTGTAGAATGTGTATAGTCCCTCGCATTTGTTCACCATCATACGAATATATTCGTCACGCTCCTCAACCGATCGGAAGGCTCTTGTCCGAACATTCTCCGATTGAGAAATCTTCGTTATTGTTGATGGCAAAAGTATACCTTCCTGATCATGCTCAGTGATGTTGGGGTACCTCCTGAAATCATTGTGATAAGGGCAGCCCGGATTCCCTTCGAGTCCGGCATTCATCGTTCTCTCCTCACCACCTTCAAACATCCCCCACAGTGGCAGTTCGTGCTGGAAGTACGACATCACCTCAAAGAATCCCAACACCATCTCGACGACGTCTCCCAAGGATTCCTCGTTCGTGGTTTGTCCCAGGAGTTCATACATCGTTCCTTGGTCGAGCACACTCTTGATCCATGACGAATATGCCACATTGCCGAGATCCTTGCCTATCAAGAAGATGGACATCCTCTCCTCGACTCCCTCGGAATTCTTGCATCCCGGGATGCGCACAATTGCTTCCCGTGACCGTTGTTGTAGAACTGCGCTGCTTGATCCACAGTCATGCTCACGAATCCCGCGTGAGAAAGCTCTTTCTTCAGCTTTGAATACGCGAGCTCCCGTATGATCGTGATCATGGCCTGGATATTGTTGACGTCCACCATGAGGTTTTGAAGGTCGGGGATTGCCACCACGCATTCCTCGAAGAGGCGCGTGTACATTTTCTTCCCCTCGATAGACATTGCAATACCGTTCGTGTCCGCGTTCCAGTTCGCGCAACAGTTCACGCAAGAAGAGGGATTGTACTTCGACTTCGGTCCGAGCACCTTCGACTTGCCCATCTGCATCTCTTTAGCGCAAAGTTCGCAGATAAACTTGCTGAGCTCCGTGACCGTATACCATCGAAGACGTTGATCACCGGCATCGGTTTTCCCAAAAGCGTCCTGCTCGCCGTGCCCTTCAGCTTGCTGCTCTTGTTTCCTCTTCGACTGTGCAGTGAAGGTCGGCTTGTACTCGAATTTCACCTTCGATTCCTCCATGTTCTTCGGGATGTTGAATCGAAGGTCGGGCTCGATTATGCACGTCCCCTCCAGCTCACACACAAACGTGTTGCTTGGTGCGACCGCATCGATGGATTTCTCAATCAGCAGTCGTTTCAGGAGGAAATGTTGCAAGTTCGAGCTCCCAGGGATCGTGTAGTTCTTTCCTGTGAGCGCATGGACCACGCGCCACAGGCGATCGTTCTCGGTCACCAGCGCGCCTGCCGCCTTGCAGATCTCGCTAACCTTGTTGGCGATCGTCCCCAAGTCCCCTCTTCCACCATGGAAAGCAACATCGCTATTCACGCACACCACGACCAGGCCCTTGCATGTGTTGACGAGGTCAGATATCGCCTTCTGCAGGTAGTCGATGATGGGGTTGGCGGTCACCTGCCATCCGCCTCCTCTCATGCACACCCAATCATATAGCGACATCCAGATGTGCACCGACATTGGTGAGTCATCCATGTCTCGCCTCCGCCGTTCAGCGATGAGCTTATCCAGCTTCAGCAATCGGGAGATGATATTCAACGTGTCGTTGGGTGAGGAGACTTGCTCACTCGACCCATAGTATGATCTCTCCTCGATGTTTGTCCATCCCTGTTCGCTGACCATCATCTGGAAGGTCTTCGTGCTCCCTTTCGAGTTGACGGCCCTCAGGGGCCAATCCAGGACCAAGAAGCTCTTCTTGTGGATCATCATGTCGCGAATCGTCGCCTCGCCAATGGGGCTCCTCTTCTGCCTATTGATAATCCGGTTCAACAGTCCAGGTGCGTTGTCCGGGTTCTTCTCCGCCTGAATCAACGCGTTGATGGCTTTGGCGCCCGGAAGGCGTCCAGTAATCAAGCATCCTGTTTGGGCACACAAGAAAGCATACAGCTGTAGCCATGCCGCATTTCCCTTCCCAACATAGGTAAGAATGATCTTCTCCGCGCTGGTCTTCTCCTCGAAGTGCAATAGCGAAGAGGTCAGGCATCTCAGCATACACTCCCAATATGTTGCGTTCTTGCCTTCTGCAAGACACGGCCCAAATACAGTTTGTATTATTGGGTACCCCGTATTGTTGTCTATGTTGAATTTCACATTGACAGTCGCGCCGCCCAAAGTGGTACCCCCTTCGAATGAAGTGTAGGTATCGTGTCCAGCAGTTGGGATGATAATTACCCATCTGTCGTCGTCACCGCCAGAGTTCATTCGGAAAATGGAGTCGATGATCTCGTTGTCGATCTTGACAGCATCGCTGGCTTGCGACCCCCCACTTGGAGCTCCCTGCTGGGGGACTGACCCACCAGCGGTTTGACTCCTTTGTCCGGAGCTTGATGCCGACTTCTGCTGTCGCTCCGTCTTCCGCGGCGGCTCCGTCTTCGATGAGCCCATCACCCACCATGTCGGCTCTTCCCCACCCACGAAATCCTCGGGGTACTTCTCCAGTTCCCTCTCGATTTCATGAATCGTGCAGTATTTATTCTGGAAGAATTCGATCATGACGTCCTTCTCGGCCTTCTTCTCGATCTCCTTCAACCAGCTTACCCACTTGCGCCGATCTTGGTTCTCAGCGGCCCTGTCAGCCGCATGCGGTGCCAAACTGATGGAGTTGATGTTCATCGCAGGCAGCTTCGACTCATAGATCATATCGATGCACCACAGGAAATCCCTGGCGTACTCAATCTCCCGGTAGAGATCGTTCAGCTCCCTTTTGTCTGGACGGAAATAAGCTGTATACGACTGATCTTTGGAGTCCTTCTCACCGAGCAATGGCTGCAATCTCCTCATGATGAAAGAGACGCACATGAGCGAATTTACCGCTCCGATGCACGCGTCAGAGATGTCACTGGGGGTTGACCCACAGATCATCCAGCGCAATAGGTTGTTCTGGCTGGCATTCTCATCCCTCCTCAGTGCATATGCGAGGTTCTTCATCGATGCCTGCAGCTCAT